GGCTTCTTCTGCATCCAGAAGCACTGCAGAGTCTAGGGGGAAACTGAGACTGCAAAGATCTTAGTGGCAAGGGGGTGATTTTATGGTGCTGGCAAATTCTTCAATAGGCTTCCATCTCCCCACCAGCCTCCCTTCAGTCTGCCCAGGTGGTAGCTACAGCCAGTGGCCTTAAATCCAGCGCTGCTCTCGGCTGTGCCTTGGGGGGCTGGTATGGGCTGTTTGCTTTGTCCTGCCTAGCTGTGTGTGTCTTAGGCTTTCCCTGCTCCAGGTACTTTGCTCTAAACTCTCTCCAAGCTCTGAGGGCCTTCCTGCTACTAAGCTATCAAGGAGTATTCCTTCTCATTTTTCTATCCGTGCGCAGAATAATTTTTTTTCTGTGCACCGAGGCATACGCAGGTGTGCACCACCAGTAGACACACATGCTGCTGGCTGTGGGTGCTGTGCTAATCACCTGGGCAGCACCTGATTCTCCCCTGGCTGGCTGCCCAGGTGCTCAGCTAATAGGGAACACGGGTGCTCGCTTTTCAGGGGTGCAGAGAGGAACTGTCCCATCCCAGTCCCATGCCTCTCCCCAGGCAGCCCCACCTGGGCTGGCCTTGTCTGCTGTAGCAGCTGTGACGGCGAGTCGGGGTTCCTCCGATCCTGCGGCCCCGTAGCAGCAAGAACAGACCCCACCAGCCGGTAGAACAGGGGGGTTATTGCTCCTCCAGGACACAGCCCAGCACAGACGTGACGTGGCTACAGGAGTCTGGGCCAAGATGCCTCAGCCCCCTTTGGATGGGGTCCCTGGGACCCTAGGTTCCAGCCCCCCCTTAGTCTCTTTCCTTCATGGTTCCAGCCCAACGCCTGCTCCCAGTCCCTGCCCCCAAACCAGGTGTTCATCTCTGCCTCCCTCCCTTTGTCTCTCCCCTGGGGAAAGAGCCTTGTTATCAGGTGTCTGAGCTAATCCACGCGTGGGTGAGTCAGTGGGAATCTCATATCACAGCGCAGGGGGACCCCGGGGTACAGCGCAGGCAGCCCCCCACTATCGTTTGCTGCTCCCTGTCCCCCAGGTCTCTTGCAGCCTAGCCAGTTTCCGTGGCACAGCTGGATTTTGGATTAGCTCCATCTTCCCACTTGATGTGATTCCTGCCCAGGCTTCCCCTTGCCAGGGCCTTTTGCATTTTAACTCGCTCCTCGCCTTTTGCAGCAGCCGGGAATTCACTGACCGTGGCTCACGTCATTCACGGTCCGCGTCCTCCTCCGGGGGGTTAATGAGCCTGTTAAATAAGAGGGGACTGAAACTGACCCCGGGGACAGCCACGACATGCCTGTCCCCAGCCATCTGCTTTGCCATTTATCTGCGCCCCCTCTGCCTCTTCCCATTTCCCGGCAATTAACCCCGGAGCCTCCCAGCAGAGCCGGCAAATAGCAGAAGGCCGGTCCATTTTAAACGGGGCAATGCGGGGCCGGCCGGCTGGCAGCTCCCCGTGCTCCAGGGCTAGGAACGTGCCACTGATCGGGCGGAGGACAGGGCCGGTGCGGAGAGGTGAGCTGGGGCCAGGAGCCCGGCAAAGCAGACAGTTTCGGAGACAGCTCTGGGCCAGCGTTTCACCCAGGGGAGGCAGAGAACAGGCAGACGTCCGGGAGGGAGTAGGACCGGCTGGTTTGGAAGGGCCGTGGGGCACAGCGAGTGCCGGCCGCTATTGGGGAGCTGGGTTTGTGTTGTGGAAGGATGTGGACACCAGCTCACGCCCTGGGATCCCTCGGCGGGGCCAGGAGTGGCCGGGGGCGGGGAAGGCCGCGTGGGTGCCGGGCCCGAGGGAAGCACGCAGCAGGCAGGGGAAACGCGGCCAGGAAGTCAGATGGCAGGGGTTTGTCTGGGAGCTTACCCACCGCTGCTGGCTCCTTGCCTCCCCACAGACCTGGGAGCTGCAGGTCACCATGAAGCAGGGGAAGGAGACGGTGGTGGAACTCCTCGGCCACCAGGGACGCTACCTCCTGGTGGACCCCGACGGCTCCGTCCGGTGCACGTGGACGCTCCAGCTGCTGGACAGCAGGAAGTACCTGGAGTCGGACGGGGAGGATGTGTTCTGCATCTCCCGGCGCCCCTCCCCCTCCCACCGGTGGCTGCCCCAGACGGCCGCTTTACGGCCCCGCCAAGCAGTGCTACGCCCGCGCCGACGCAGACCTGGACCGGGTGTGGGTCGACACCCCCGTGCCCTACCCGGAGGAGTGCGGCTTTGTGCTGCGCTTCAAGCACGGCATGTACCACAAGTACGTCTCCAGGAGAGAGACGCTGGCCAAGAAACCCTCCACCCACACCGCCTTCCACTTAAACCTCCAGCCCCGGTGCCTGGCTTTCCTCAGCGACCGGGACGGCAGCATCCTGTATCCCCAGGGCAAACGGGGGCTCTTGTGCCTGGGCGACAGCCCCCCGGAGGAGGAGGAGAAGTGGTTCGTTATCAAGAGGTGTCCGCAGTGGGTCAGTCTGAAAACGAAGGCCAAGAGATACGTGTCCGTCATCTGTGGCAAGTACATTCCGTTCTCTGTCTGAGCACGTTTGGGGGCCCGGCTGAAGGACGCGGGACATGCCCCCTTGACTTGTCACCACCCTGACTGACACCTCTTTGGCCAGGCCTTGCCCTGGGAAGCCCACCCCGGGCTGCCGTGAGGTTGCACAGAGAGCAAGCCGGGGTAGAATTTAGGGGGGGTCCCTGTTTAATAGAATGATTTTGGGGCGTAGGATATTGGGGTAGGGAGCCACAGAGCTAGAATCCATCCCCCAGTTTGCAAGGAGGAGGGAGAAATATTGTTCCCCTTGGCCTCTGAGGACAGGACAAGAAGCAATGGGCTTAAACTGCAGCAAGGGAGGTTTAGGTCGGACATTAGGAAAAAGTTCCTAACTGTCAGGGTGGTCAGACACTGGAATAAATTGCCCAGGGAGGTTGTGGAATCTCCATCCCTGGAGATACTTAAGAGCAGGTTAGACAAACACCTGCCAAGGAGGATCTAGACGGTGCTTGGTCCTGCCGTGAGGGCAGGGGACTGGACTCGATGGCTCTTGAGGTCCCTGCCAGTCCTAGTGTCTGTGATTCTGTGATTCTATGACATCTCGCCCCTGGCAAGGCTGTTACGAGCAGCCAGATGCACACAAGAGGGGTGGGGGCAAGCGGGGGCATGTCTCAGAATGGGACGTGTGCCACCATCACCAAAACCCACCTGCATCAGCAGCCCCTTCATGATGTTCTTACACAGGGCGGGGGATTGAGTAGCCCACAGAAGGGGATCTCCCTGCGCATCTCTACTGCGGTGTCTCCAGGACGGGGCTGCTGTAGGTTGCAGAGTAGTAGGATGGGGATGCGGGGGGGAGCCATGTGACATCGACTCTGGGGATGCAGACAGGGTGTGCTCGTCAACGCTAGCAGCAGAGCAGCCGGCCCTAAACACAGTGGCTGCGTCTAGACTGGTAAGATTTTCCGCAAAAGCAGCTGGTTTTGCGGAAAAACTTGCCAGCTGTCTACACTGGCTGCTTGAATTTCCGCAAGAACACTGCCGATCTCGTGTAAGATTGTCAGTGTTTGTGCGGAAATACTATGCTGCTCCCGTTTGGGCAAAAGCCCTCTTGCGCAAGAGGGCCAGTGTAGACAATGCAGTATTGTTTTGTGCAAAAAAGCCCCGATGGCGAAAATGGCAATCGGGAATTTCTTGCGCAAAACCGCGTCTAGATTCACACGGACGCTTTTCCGCAAAAAGTGCTTTTGCGCAAAAGCATCCATGACAATCGAGACGCTCTTTTCTGCAAATGCAAAGGTTTGTCGAGAAATCCCTGCCAGTCTAGACGTAGCCAGTGAGAGGAAGTTTTAGGCATTATCATGTGGTCTGACCCACTGTGGCTGTTCTTAAGACCGTATATTAAAAAGCCGCCTCAGAAGATGCTTAAAAAACCACCCCCAAACCACCTCTTCCTAGACTAATGAATGGAGCAGCACTTTTAGGGCACAAGTATTACCCTTGAGTAAATGACCTTTTCTCTCTCAGCTGAGATGCAGCCAGAAGAAAGAGCTGAGAAAGCAACTAATCGGTGGCACATAATACAAAAGACTTCCTGATTTTTCTTCCTCGCATGCTCCTCCCCTGCCAGCTTCTGTGGAACAGGAGCTAAGCAGCCCCACAACTTCTGAGCGGGTGAGTCATCTCATTCCCCCCCTCCCCTCCCATGCAACTTCACTGACACAGGAGCCTCACCAAAGACAAGAGAAACCAGCTGAGGAAGAGCCGGGAGCCCCAGTGGATGAGGGAGTGTGTGCGCTTGGGGATAAGTTGCTCTGTGCCTCAGTTTCCCCTCTGTAGACTGGGGATACAGCTGCTGCTGGGGTGTGGTGAGGACTAGCAGGTGCTTGTGTTTTGGCAGGGGCTGGGCACAGGAACATCAGTGATGAAAACAAAGCAGGAAATCGGCAGCGGTGGTGTTTTCAGTGGCCTCACATGACAACAGAGCCTGAAATGCTTTTCTGTAGGATTCCACTGCTAAAACGCAGCTCCAATGACTTCCAGGGCAGGGCATGGGGGTGTGCACCTGCCCTCCCCACCCCTGTGCCTTTGGGATCCTGGAACCAGCCGGGGGACTGAGGACAGGGGGCAGCAGGGGACACAACGATGGGGATGGGGATGGTGGGAGGCTCTGTGGCCACGAGAGCTCTGTCCCCCGTGGAACCTGGAGCTCAGCCCATGATCCCACAGAGCCAGCTTGCCTCTGCTGTCAGCCAATAGCTGTGAAGCCCAGGGGCAGTCTGGGTCTCCCGCCCCCTGGTGGCAGGCCCAGATAGAAGCTAACAGCCTACTACTGCTGTTCCCTCCCTAGTGGCTCAGCTGGCGGAAGGCAGATCTGAGCGGTGGCTCTGACGATTCCCAAACCCGAGGATTAATCTTTTGCCACGTTTAAATTTGTTCTGATTTTTTTTTAAACGAGGGAAGTTACATCCAAAAAACCCTCCATTAAGGAACATTAAGGCTGAGCAAAACCGACCACTCAAAAGTCAGGAAATGCCAGAATTGAGGTTGGTTGTGCAACTATAATTCAAGTTCCAATGTGCCTACAGGCTACGATAATTACTTGAGGATTCCCTGTTCTGTTCCCTCCCTCTGGGCACCTGGCATTGGCCACTGTCGGCAGACAGGACGCTGGGCTGGATGGACCGTTGGTCTGACCCACTATGTCCTTTAGCTGTTAATTGCATGGCCACATACTTCTCTCTGCCACAGGGCCCCTGCCTCCTGCCGTGGGCTGGATCGGGCTTTGCAGTGAAGTAGGCAGTTATCTGTAGGTCCTTTGCCTCATTTGCTGCAGACGTTGGAAGCCCCTGGTGCGTAGGTTTGTAGGGCCAGAGACTGAAAGACGGGGAAGGATGCTCTCAAGCTTAAGGCAACTGACTGTCACTCTAGAGAGTTGGTTTCCAGTCCTGCCCTGACACAGCATTCCTGTGTGGTGCTGGTCAAGTCACTTAAATCAGATTTTTTTCGGGCAGCCACTGCGTTACGTCATTGTCTGACGGCCCAACTCGAGACACCAGGCTCTGATGTGCAGGCATGCTGAGCCCTCGTTGCAGCAGAAGACATAAACCGACCAGTCCTCCGCAGAATCTGGCCCATGGCATCTCAGCTGGGACACACACAATTAGCTGCCGCTTTGGGCTTTAATCCCCGTGCCTCAGTGCCCCCCATGTGAAGTGGGGATCCCCCCACTCCACCTCTTACCGGGGTGTTGAGAGGATAAATTCGATCGTCCAGGTACACCCATGAGCGCAAGGATCGCTGGGCCCCGATCCCTGGCTGCCAGAGCTTGGGGTTGCTCCAGAGTGGGACCCCGCTCTCAATTCAATTCTGCTGCACAGGCCGAGTGCGTTTGGCTTGCCACGGGCTGACTTTCTCCCCTTCTGGGCAGACACTGAAGTGTACGCCGGCTCAGACAAAGTGACCCCAACATCCATATTCCGCTATGAATTCGATCCTGAGACCAACGCAGTGCAGCTAAAAACGGTCAACAACCGCTACCTGGCCCAGGTGAGCGACCCCTCTCCCAGCTCATCCAGGGACGCAGTCCACCCGGGGGCTCAGGGGCACTTGGCTCACCATGTCATTGCTGGGCTCTGCACCCCTACTCTTTCTACGCGACCAGAACGGAACACGCTGTGGAGGGCAGCCCTGGGGATTCAACACTGGGATAAATTGTCTAGAAAGGTTGTGGGGTCTCCATCTCTGGAGACATTTAAAAGCAGGTTGGACAGACACCTGTCAGGGATGGTCTAGACCAGTGTTTCTTAAACTGTCTGCAAGGCAGTCTGAGGTGTGCCACGGAGAACAACAGAATTCAAAATGGCCGCCCTTAAAGGGAGCAGGCGACCTTTTTTTTTTCCTCAACAAAAAAGCGTTGGTGTTCCTCATAAAAAAATATTGTTTGGTGTTCCTTGGTCTTAAATAGTTTAAGAAACACTGGTCTAGACGGTGCTGGGTCCTGCTGTGAGGGCAGGGGACTGGACTCGCTGACTCTCGAGATCCCTTCCAGTCCTAATGTTCTGGGATTCTGTGATTGATTCACACAACAGTCTAATAATCTCTTAGTGACCCATACGGGCTAGTTCCACACAACAGAACCATGGGTGTGCAAGGCCGTTCTCAGGTTTCACCCTGTTGCTGTCAGAGGCAAACGGCCCCCACCACTCCCAGGAAACCTCCCGCCTTTCACGGCGCAGGGCTGCTCTTGTCGAGGGCTGGCCCTGGATCTGCCGACTTGGCCAGGCAGGACGCCGCTCTGAAGGACGCCCTGGCCCCGGGCTGGCAGGCGCTGATCCCCTCCCTCTCCCTCCTTGCAGAGGAAATTCAAGAGCATCATGGCCAATGGGAGACGCATGGAGCCAGAGACCAACTTCCGTGCCCAGTGGCATTATGGGAAAATCTTCCTGCAAGCTTTCAATGGCCGGTACCTGGGCACCCTGCCCATCGGGCTGGTGGTGGCCAGCGCTGCGCACCCCGGTAAGGAGAATGGGTGGGGAGGGGGCCTCGGCACTTAGCCAAGAGCTGAGCAGTGCAGCCCTCTGGTCTATTGGGACCCCGATTCCCCTGCCTCTCTCTGACAGTGGGGGGCTGGTCTCTGAGGGGCCCATTCCCCCCACTCTGGGAGGGTCCTAGATGAGGGTCCCCCTCCCTCCATCCCTCCCTATGGGCGGCCTCTGCCAGGCCCCCGGCTCCGCGGGGAGCGCGAGAGAACTTTTAATTCTCAGGGAGTGGAACTGGGGCTCCGAGGCTGTAAACGGGAGGGCAAGGCCCTTAGGGCGGCACCCGGACTGGTCTCTGAGGGGCCCATTCCCCCCACTCTGGGAGGGTCCTAGATGAGGGTCCCCCTCCCTCCATCCCTCCCTATGGGCGGCCTCTGCCAGGCCCCCGGCTCCGCGGGGAGCGCGAGAGAACTTTTAATTCTCAGGGAGTGGAACTGGGGCTCCGAGGCTGTAAACGGGAGGGCAAGGCCCTTAGGGCGGCACCCGGAGCGGAGTCTCCTCCCTGCCCCAGTGTGAGACCCTGCCCCCGTCTCCAGTGTGGTCCCCTCCCTCCATCCCTCCCTATGGGCGGCCTCTGCCAGGCCCCCGGCTCCGCGGGGAGCGCGAGAGAACTTTTAATTCTCAGGGAGTGGAACTGGGGCTCCGAGGCTGTAAACGGGAGGGCAAGGCCCTTAGGGCGGCACCCGGAGCGGAGTCTCCTCCCTGCCCCAGTGTGAGACCCTGCCCCCGTCTCCAGTGTGGTCGGACGTGGCCAGGACCCTTCTGTGGCTCCCCCCAGCGCGGC